GATGATATCATTAGTGGAAGAACTAACCCTGCAACTGCAGTCAGGGGAAGGCCATTCAACATGTGAGGAGCTGCTAAGCTATCGCACTCATCAGATTCAGATGTGATACATTCATAGGGATCTAATTCAGTGGAAGAACTCTCAATGGAAGAGGCATAGAAATCCGGAGACTCGGCTTGATTTGGCTGAGTCCAATGGCAGCTGCAAGCAGTTGAGAAAGAGGACAAAGCCGAGGGAGAAGGGTTGTAAATTGTTTTCCTCTGAACTCTTCTCTTGGATGACCTTCTTGGTGAATCAGTGAATGAAAAGTCTCTGACTTTGTTATGAATTGGCGAGTTGAAAAGCATACCAGCTCTGTAAGGTTCTGTGGGGAAATGGTGCGAACAACTTGGGGGCGACCTCTGGGGCATTACAGGTGAGCTTGCTTTGTTCTTCACAGCATGAGAACCTTTCTGCTTCCTTGATCTGCTCATGTCTTTGAGCTTGTAAAACCAAGCATTTGGGATCATATCTGACAATTTGAACCTGTGAATACCCATCAGATTATGAAGTGCCTCAAGCACTACTCAACAAACCCTTGATCTCTCTCTGAGGATTCTTGTATTTCTCTGGGGTATCTCAGAATTGTACTTATTCTCGAGAGTTGAAATCGAAGATACAATGAACTGAAATATAGCCTTATAGCAGGAAAAATATAATGCTGGTGGTCCACTATAAAAGTTTAGACATTAAAGCAGGGGGACCAAGTGTGTCCAAAATGACTATGTATCATTACTATCAGCAATGCTCTTGCCGTGTCAACTACAAATAACATCATTAGCTTAGTTTCAATGAGTAACAACCCCCTCCTTCTTATTATGCCATCAATCCCTTCGCAATAAATCAACAATTTGGTCTGAGATCTAAACAGACAACTTAGCTGTGAGATATATATTTATTCAGTTTATATATGATTTACAAAAAGATATTATTATGGAAAGCCCAACAAGAATATGCAGAGTTTTCACTATTGAATTTCTTCTTTTGCTGGTTGTGTAACGTTCAGTGGAGAAAAGATAAGTACTGATAAATCATAACCAAAACTACAAATTAGGATGTGAAGAAGTTTTGCCTTTTGGAAGGTCCAGTTTTCGACAGCCACACGCTTTCTCAACTCAGAATTCCCAAGCGTATTAAATGTTAACCACTCATGGATAACAAATGGCTTGAACTAATAATTTGGTTCTCCACGCTTTGTTTAAGGAGGGTAAAAATATAAGTTTAGTGGGTAATGATGAACACAGGGAACAGGTGAGACCCATCCGGAGGCGGCAGCTTAATTGCATGATGACATGCTGATAAATCCTGATTTTATATTGATTTTTCATATCTTATTTGGGATTTTTATCAATTAAATTGAGCTTAATTGCATTTATTATAATTAATTTGGATTAATTGTGATTGGATGAAAATATTGCTAAAAAGAGCAAAAATATCATATTTTTATGATTTAGTTTAACTGATTGATCTTTTTGAAAAAAATATGATATCATAGCATCTTTTTTATTCTAGAAATTTTTGGAAGAGAATTTAGGTTTGGTGGGAGCAGAACGGCGGAAGTTTTATTCATCAGCATCCTATATATACACATCTTCGCAGAGGCACAAGGACGCCACGCCCATCCACGATCATCATCATCTCACGGATTCCACCCCAAATTTGATACTCAATGTGCTAACAGCCTTCAACATCATGCGTGGCTAATTTCATCAAGCTTCTTGAAGATGAAGGATTGGGTTTGAACTTCAGAGTTAATTAGGAGAGTTTTTCTGTTTCAATTCTTTTAATTTAATTAAGTAATGGATTTTCTGAGTTAGAATCAATATTATTTAATTAAATTTTCTAAGATTACTAGTTGTAATTCTTAGTTTAGAATTGAACTTTTGTGATTGGGGTTGTATTTTGCAATTTGAGATTTACATTTATATCCAGTTTGGAGTTCTATATGGTTATGCTATTCTTTCATAGTTTGGATGAATGTTATAATTGTATGGTACTTATTGAATATCTCAAGTTGAGTGTTCTTTGCATAGAAACCCGAATTGCATTAATCGGTTTTCAATGGTAATTTTAATTGATAGTTGTAGCTAGAGTTTTTAGGACATCTATTAATTAAGATTACTTGACTTAATCAGTGATTAAGGTTTTGATTTTAAATTAGTGAACAAAATAACTCCGAGATCATTTTGAGCAAGGATAACCCAATTTCTATTTTCCAAGAAGTATTATCTCATATCTCCTTAAAATCCAAATTTTTCATTTGCTACTTTTTTTTTAATTAATTTTCTTTCAATTTCAATTTCAAAGTGTCTTTTCAATTTTTTTATATAAAAAAATGAAAAAAATATTTAGAATTGTTTTCAATTTATTTTGCAAAGTAGTTTTTTTAAAATTTGAAAAACAAAAAAAAACTTTTTAATAGTAATTTTGATTTTTAGTTAATTTAGGACCTAGTTAATTTTTAACTCCAATAAGAGAACCACTTTGATTTACATCACTTGTTGTATTCTAAATTTAATTCAATTTGACCCAAGACGACATTGAGGATCACATGCCTTTCCTTTTGAAACAATGGGGTTATTATTGCGAATCCCCCACTTGCCTGCTGCTGGCGTAAGCATTTGAAATCATAGTATTGTTTTCGTTTATTCCTTATTTTAGGACTATAATATGTTAAGAACCTGACCCGACATGATCATGGAGATACAGCAAAGAAAGAGGTTTGCTGTTAGTAGAAGCGTATTTTTAGTTGATAATACAAAAGACAGCTTAAAACTCAACATACTTTTTCACGCACCTCAGAAATAAATAAGTGATATCTTCTCAATGGGATAACTCATTAGATATTTGATTTTACTCCTCCAGTTTTTAATATAGGACCTAATTCTTGAATTGGTTTTAGTCCTAAATATAAGACTTATTTCTCATAATTATCAATTTTCTCTAAATTACCTCTATAGATATTTCCTCAACCATAATCAAGTAGAAAAGAGAAATGGAGTATTAAGAAAGACGATTATAGTGTTTTAGGAAAAATGTGTCACTTTTCTTATAATTAACTAACTTACCTAACTTTCTTAATCTAATCAAATTAGTTAAATGGTCTTATATTAAGGACCGGAAGAGTATATATATCGATATTGTTATGTAGTATAAAAAAAAAGTACACCAATAAAAGATGGAATGTTGGAATTTGGATCATTTATCAAATAAAGAAATTGGATTTCTATTATTATTCTTACAATTAGAAAGCGATTTTATTTTAGCAATTTTCTAGTCAAAAGATACGGCAATTGGAAAGTGGGAAATCGATATCAGATAGGAGTGTGTAAAAACCAGGTGGTTCATCAGGTCTGGTCCAACCCGAAGTGACCTGTCCTATCCAGTCCAATCCAAATAAACTATATAATAAAATTAGATTAGACTGGACCAGACTGGTTGGTTGGGTAGGACTGGGTTTTAGACCAAGTGATTAGACCACCTGAATTAGTCTAGTCCAGTCGAGGTAAATTTGTTTATTTTTAAATAATTTGCAATTTGCAATTTAGATGTTACCTTTAATTTTTTTTATATTTTTAGAGATTTTTATGTATTTATGATGAAGTCTTAATATTTTAAGATGATTTTTATATGATTATAGGTATTTTTTATTGTCTTAAATTATATTCATCATGTTGAAATCTTGCTTCCCAGAAAAAAAAAAGTTCAAAAAAAAATGGAAACATGCACTGTCTGGACCAATCTATCAGTCTGGTGGATCCAAGTCCAGTCCAACCCGACCTCAGGTCACCACTGGATTAGACTAGACCATCGACTGTCAAACCCAACCCAACCCAACCAAAAATCAGACCAAACTTCAGGTTGGGTTCTGGTCTGGTCTATACATTGTGTAGCCCTATCGGATAGTGTGGGTGTGCGTATTTCAACAATAATTTTTCGAAATATTGAATTTTAACCATTTAAAAGCGAGAAAAGGAGAATTTTGCTTTTTGGGTGCATCTGAGAAAAGGAGACGTGGAGAGTGAAATAGAGAAAATTCTGGCCGGTGCCAGTCTGCCAGGAACCTGATCTGTACCTTTATTTGGGCCAAATTACGTTCTGGTATTATATTTGACCTACAACAAAAGCCCAATCCAAATACATTATTCAGCCCATTAAAATTTCGAGAAGCCCAACCCAATCGTTTGCGGAGGACTTCTGGTCGAGTTCCAATAACATGTTAATAAAGTTTTCATTTTTTTTCACTTTTTTTTAATCACCAAAAAAAGTTTCACCAACTATTTCACCAACTAATAAAGTTTTCAAGCTGAAATTTAATGACTTTTTTTTAACCGAAATCTAAACTTTAATTACTTGAATTCATATTTTAAGTGTCATCATTATATAGCGTAAATCTCGGATATATAAAATTTTCTGAAGAAATGAGTGTATACTTTTAACAAAATTATTTTAAAAATTACATCAATTTTAAAACTGAAAATTTGTATAAATTAAAAAAAAAGTAATTTATCCTTAAAATTTTAAAAAGGATGAGTGAAAGACAATAATACGGTGAAAAATGTTTGGTAGCAAAATTCAAAAAGGTTTAAAGTATAACAATCTGATCAACTCAAACTTCAATATATAATATATATATATATATATATATATATATATCGCCAACGAAATACTAAACACTATCACGGGGCTTGCAAAAATATTTTACATAGAGTTCCGGATCAACCAATAGTATGCCTTGTAATTAACAATTAGTGGAATTGGATTAACATGAGTAAACGAAAATAGCATGGTTCAGTCAAGAACTAGAGATTCTGGCAACTTACAAATATATTAGAACCCTCTAACGGAAAAGATTAGTAGACTACAAGCATTAACATACTGTTAGCCAAGTCTAGTACAAAAGTTATGATGTTCTATTTGCTAAATTACCAGTTAAAAGGGCTCTCCATTTAGTTAACATCTTACGAAGATGTGACATAAACTCTTGACTTCACCAACGTCTGCCCAATTCCGAACCCAGGCATGATCATGAACTGAACTTTGCAGTTTGATCTTTCTCCATCAGATCCAACCGCGATATTCCCTTCTTCCTCCACGGATTCCATGTACAAGCTGCAGAACTTGCTTCCTCTGTTCACAGAGAACAAGGTTGCATCAGGATCTATTTGTCTAGCAGAACCTTGCAAGACCCAAATCCATTTTGCCATTTTGGCAAACAATTGATAGAACTCCGTCCTAGGATGTTTGCCGCCCAGTATGAATGTCCGGTGATCTAAATTCCCAAAGAATCTTTCTTCCATTGTCGGATGAATGACCAGAAGATACTTAGTTCGACAGAATTTGGCAAACTCTGAATCAGGATTCTCCATCAGCGCATCAATCGGGTCTTTAAACCTCATGACATCCCCCACATTGTAAGACGTTAAGCGAATCCCATGAAACATCCTGCGAGCAATGTAGGCCTCGAAAGTGTACTTCTTGTCAGATCTTTTGGCGTAAACGGCTTCATTTTCAATCCACTTGGCGGCCAAATCAAGGTCCCACCCTGAAGCTTTCATCAAACTGATCAAAGGTTTAGCGAAATCATGAATGCACTTTGAAGCCGCCTTGAAAACATCTTGGAAATTAGCAACAGTCAAAACGCTCGCTTTCCTCTTCTCAAGATCGATCCGCTTGATCTTCTCTGCCATTGCTTTATTCCCCATCTCCAAATCTTGAAGCTCCTGCCTTAAACGGAGAATCTCAGAGTCTTTGGCACTATTTTGAGATTTCAGCTTCCCAAGCAACGCCTCTTTGGCCTTCATTTCAGCCCGTAGGAGACGAGAACGCTGCGACAAGTTGAATCGTGCTTTTCTGTATTGTCTCTGCTTATAATCGCGCTTGAACTTACATAGCTTCTCGAGCTCAGCAACTACTTTATCATCAGCAGCAACAATCTTGTGCGGATCATAGGGGATGTGAGCTTGCTGAAGCTGGAGATATGCTAGTTTCAGGGCTGAAACTGCGTCGAATATCTTCATGAACTCAACACTAACACGAGCATTATCATCCTCTTTCGCCGGAACTTCAATGGGATGAGGATGAACTTTCCCAACGTGGCTTTTAGTCTTTTCCTCACTTGGACCATCACTGCTACCATTACTGCTGATTTCACTCAAAGGAGCATCATTGAAGATGGGTTTGTGCAAGTGAGGGAGATTGGGGATTTCAGAGGAGAAGACACCAATGGATTTCAATTTACAAACTTTGGTGAACTTGGAGACGATTTCGGATATGTTTGAGTTGGGTTTGATAATGGGTTTGTTAGCATTTGGGCATTCCATCGCCGAGGAGAGGTCAAGCCTCGAACTCATACCAAGCGATTTGAGAAATCAGAAGCAGAAGAAAGCGGGAATTTAGATTTTAATTACCCCGCATAGCATAAACCCTGATTACCCAGCAAGACCCGGATTTCCTGGCAAGATGCCAAAAACCCAGTTAGTGGAGGCTTGCAGCATCTCAGATTTATTAAAAAAGAAAATAGCTAACGGCAGGTTTTTGCCCCCTTCAAAGACACACAGCAGAGCTCAAAGAACTTGCTTTCGGAGTTCAGAAATCACCCAATGGAGATTGAAACTCATCAATGAAACGCAAAAAGAAGAGAAGGAAGGAACTAGAATAAATAGGGGTGTCAGAGCAGAGCAAGAATGCAGAGCAGAGCCAGAAGCTCACCTAAACCTGACGCAACATTTGGAGTTGGAGGAGAAGCAAAGAACGACGACGTTTCAAGGGCGTCGGGGACGGAACGTCGGAGGAAATCATGGCGGTAGGAGGGCGGAGCTGCGGATTGGAAAGCATTTAAAAGTTTGAACCTTCAGTGAAGGCGTGAGCGCCTGGTTTTGTGTGAGCTCCGGGGCACAGTGACTGGGGTCTGTAGAATACTGACAAAATATAGTTGCCTTTCCCAATGAACCAATTAGTATTTTTTATTTAAAATAATATAACAGTCATGATATTAAATATGGTTTTATTTATAAATTATAAAACAGAAATAAAAGAATTTTTTAGTCTAGTTTATAAGAAATTTTTTATATTAAAATTATACTATTTATTTATTATTGTGTTAACTTTATTTATATAAGATATAATATGTATTAAATAAAAATAAAATTGTTGAATTTTAAATAAAAATTAATAGAGTTTAAGATTTTTCTTAATCTGTATTAAGTATGTTAAAAATGACTTATAAATAGAATCAGAGAAATATATATTATACTCTATGAAAATAAAATCAATACAATAATAAATAAATGATAAAATTATATATTTATGTCAAAAGTTTCTCTTTATGTTATATAAATATAATCAAAAAATTCCTTTTCTCTCATCTTATAAATAAAACCAGAAGAGTATGTGTTTATTTTCTTAAAATACTCTTATTAATTATCTATATTAACTATAACTACTATTTAATAAAATTTTTAACATCTAAAAAATTATAGCAACTATTTTTAAAAAATATATAATAAATAAAATGAATTAAAATATTATGTTTTTAAAACAATGTCAAAATACTTTTATATTAAATATGGGAAGTATTCATGTGCTAACCTCCCTCCTCTAATGCCACGGATGAGCTCTAAATTCTAATTATTATTACTCCAACGAAATTAGATGGTTAAAATGCATCTTTTCATTATACAAAAAATCCGTTGGCCAAAAAAAATATACAAAAAATCCGTCTTTTCGCATCTTATATTGATATTGACCATTACATAAAATCTATACAAAAATAAAATATTCATATCATTTGTGATCCGTCTCCCGGCTGGCAAAGAAACATACTAACTCCAATCCTAAATATGAATATAAGATTTAAAATTCGGTTTCGGTGGCAAACATGGTATGGTATATCGTTTAGTCTAGTTTTATATATCAGTTGGCTAAGGGGAAAAAAATAGTTTTATCTATAATATGCTTATTTATATATACAGTTGGAGAAATTTCTTTTTTTTTTTGGGCCAAAAAAAACAGTTGGAGAAATTTCAAAGTCAGCTTATTTGGGATAAGCATTAAAGCTTTTAAAGCAGTTTTTAAATAGTAATTTTCAAAATATGAAATAAATATGTGGTGAAAATTTTGCCTGAGCTTAATACTTATAAGCACTTAATAAAAGTATATACAAACAAGCCCTTACAACTTTAATTATAATTTCAAACAAGTTGGAGAAATATATCACCCAAACACAGCCTAAATCGTCCCATTTAAAACTTCTCAATTGTCTTCCAACATGGTATATAAAATCAGATTAAACCATATATGATGTATCTCATGTTTGACGCCAAAACCGAATTCACAGGATAAATCACTAAATCTTATATTTAAAATTGGAATTAGCATATTATTTAAATAAATTTTGGTTGGACTTACCTTTTTTATATAAGCTTGTCTTAGCATTGCACCAATTAATTTTTATCTCAACTTTAATTTGTAAAAATAAGTTGAAATAAAATTTACTTTTGTTATCCCAAAAATTCTTATTATGGTATATCATACTCCTCCCTTAATATAAGACCCATTTAACTAATTTGATTAAATTAAAAAATTTGAGTAAGTTAGTTAATTATAAGAAATGTGACACGTTTTTTTTAAAATACCATAATCATCTTTCTTAATACCCCTTCTTCTTTTTTTACTTAATTATGGTTGAGAGAGTATTTATAGAGATAATTTAAAAAAATTAATAAATATAAAAAATAGGTCTTATATTTAGAATTAAAACTAACTTAATAATTAAGTTTTATATTAAAAATCTAAAGAGTAGTATAGTTTATGATTAATCTTTACCCACATAAATATGTTAAAATGCAGTTTATCAGTTTAGAAAAATAATGGGAGATTCTTTCGTTCTTTTTGATGGGATCCGCGTGCAGTGACAGGATCAGAGTCTGGAATTCGCTATAGGATCTCAGCCGTTGAACTATATGCGGGCCCTCCAATTGGATAAACGACGTCAGTGGCGACGAACTACGACGGCGTTTCTCTTTGGATTGTGAATCTATTTGTACGGTTTCTGATTAAAAAAAGTCCATTTGTGTGTAGCCTTTTAACTTTTTGGGGTTGTAAGTGTAGCAACTAAATAAAAAAGTGTTTATTGTTTGTTCCAAGTACTTTGAGACATTCAGGTCCAAAAAAAAGGTACTTTTGAGGCATAGAATATTTAATATGTGCTCTTCGCAAAATCCACTCCTCATGTGCATAAGAAGAAATACTATTTACAATTTTTAATATAAAATTTAAAACCTAATTAGATTTTATATTAAAAATCAAAAGTAGCATTGCATTTTGCTACGGTTGTTATTGGAATCAACCATGCAGTGTTCATTATTGATTAAAACCATTCGCGTTAGATTTAGATGATTACAACCTTTTTTAATATATTTTTCTCATCTTTTGATAAACTTCATTTTATTACATATATAGTCCAAAGTGCATTTCATTTTTATCTATATTCATAATTATTCATATACTCCTCCAATTCTAAATGTAAGACTCCTTTTGTAGTGTAAATTACACTCCGAAATAAGTTTTATATTTAGGACCGGAGGAATAACATTTTTACAAATGAATTATCTATGTATGTATATAATGTGCCTTATTCACATTCATTTTTTTCCCTATTCACGTATGAAAAATCATCTTTTCCGTTAGATCTAACTCTTATTGGTTACTTATCAATTATGCTATTTTGGCCAAAAATACAATTGGGCTTATTCCTCATCATAATAGGGCCCGGACCCATTGGGCCGATTCAAGAGAAAGTTACACTTCGGCGTTGCAGGCTTGAATATCACACTTGTTTTAGCAGATCAAATCTGAATTGTTGTTTTGGGCCGATGCTCCGGACAAATTGTTGTCAATGTATGTCTTGTGTTATTCTCTTTTTTTTTTTTGGTGAAAATGTCTTGTGTTATTCACTTATGGTCTCATGTGCAAGTATTTAATAGTTTTTTTATAATTATCTGAGTGTTTCAAATAATTTTTTGGCCTACGTATCAAATATTGATTCAAAAGTTTTAAATATAATTAAGTATCCATCTGATGGTTTCTTTTGGGGGGTTAAAATTATTGAGGGTGGTTTTAATGTCGGAAGAAACATACATCTAGCCACCTTGAGGACATAGCACACACATCTTTCAGATTGTTTTTAAGTATCTATCACAGTCTCAGACTCTCAGCGTGTGATGCTTGAGAGACAGAGAGGGAGATTTTCATGGGGGAGCATGAAATGATTTGAGGACAAAGGAAGAAAAGGTTGGGGGAGGAGCAGCTTTATTAAAAAGTAGAAGAATAATTGTGACCCCCGAAAAAGAAATGGAGGCCAGAAACAATACCCTGCATATGTCACCCTCACGTTTGCCATGTTATTATCAGCCCTCTTTTATCCCCATCTGGTTTAATTTTAGAAAATATTAATGCTAGGTAACCTTTGATTTCTTCAAGTGTTAAAACACACATATTTAGTTTGAGAGGAAAAGGTTTAATCCATGTTTGCCTCATTAAAATCATCAGTAGTTTCAAACACAGTATTAATAGCTATCCATGCAAGTGTAAGCATTTGAAAATTTTCCATCACATATGGCCTCTGCACGCTCATCCACAAATCAATCTACATCAATGATGACCCAACCTGCTTCCGTGCACTTAATCAAGCCTATTGATTTCTTTATCACTTGATGCTTGAGGTATCTGTGCTACTTTTTTAAGTGAGAAAAACCAAAGTTGACAGGTAAAACTTCTTCGTCAGAATCGAACTTGCTTATTTTGCAGCTGATTTCGCCAGTTCCACAGATCCATGATCTTCAGTCGTCCTAGCTGCCCACGCTTGTCCTTGATCAAGGCATGTCAAGCTACATGTAAATCATTTATCTGTGTTAATTGATGCTGCTTTTGTGTGTCCCAATTCTTGTGTTTGTCCATTCAATCCACATCACCTTTCGTCCTTGATCGCAACCATCCAGCAGCAGCAGCCCACACCATATCTTTGATTCACATCAACTCTTTGATTTTTAATCACCGTCTTTGATCCACACACACGTGGGATTGTTAGCAAGTCTCACGTCTTATGGCTGTCGCCATATAATATGAAAATCAAACCAAATGCATTATTAAGGAAGTTATCACCATTGCAATCCATTTTTCAAATGCAAGGACCCACCCAAGTTTTTCGAAAAATATGAAGTTTGAATTAAGACCCTCATCTTTGATTACCCTCCACCGGGGTGTACTGAGGTGGATTTTGGCGAAGGATTCTGATTCTTGTGTGTTTTGATGGGATTTACTCTTAATGAAATACAGTCCTTTATTCAAAACAAAAATAAAGGAATTATAATTTTTTTTCTTAATATTTTCTTGGAATCCTGGAAAACAGAGGGGCCCTCCATTTTCAAGTAAGTCTTCCCCGCTCTGCAGGCTTTCACATACCATCCCTACCAAATCCAAGCTAGAGGAAATAGAAACAAACACCTCATGTGATTTCTGAATATATGGAAAGGTTACCATATCATATACTTCATCTGAGAACAAAGGTTTGATCTTGTCATCAATGAATGGCCTATGAATAGCAACTGGCCTCAATTCAACCCACAGCTCTCGAGTTAGCAAGTTCCGCAGTTCAGGAAATCAGAACCATTTGAGAATTTACCATACCAAGAAGAGTCATCCTTAGCCAATTTGTGGAAATCCCATCCAAAATGAATGTTCACGGAAACCAACCTCAAAGTTGGAAACTTTGATTCTAATTGTGGCGATCTCAAGAGAATCTGAGTTGCAGAATGGAAAAACCAGTGGCTATGCAGCACAATTATAAATCCTTTGTCATAAAACACGCAACAACTTCTTCATTTTTTGTTTTTCTAAAACATCTGATGGTAAATACATCAAAAGGCACACTTCAATTTGTTTTTTTGAGTATGTTGAAGTCGCGTTTCTGCTTTCCTGTGTACAAATTGTTCCTTCTCAGTATCTACCAACAGCATCCGCCTTTTTTCCCATCATCCAAACACGTGTAGTGCAGAGTGCAGAGGCTATAACTGTAAATTCTCAGGTGGATCGTCCTTGTGGCAACAGCCCCACCATGTAATAACCTCGGGTTCACAGCCAAGTTGCAGAGGAGGCACCGTACATTTTTTTAGCTTGATCCACTTTTTCTCATTCCCAAAACGTCCAGCTTGAAACACGGCTAAACCATAAAAATTGTACTTATTGAAATCTTAAGTATATTGCGAATCCTTAATGCAAGTACCAATATATTCCAAAGCACCCCAGCCCATCCCTCCCTGCCACATCAACGAGCACCAGCATGGAAAGAGAATCATTTTGATAATTATTTTGTGGTACATGAAGGAATTATTAATGAAATGACAGCAGGAAAAAATGCAGCAACGAAGGCGCAGTCAAAAAATGAAAATAAAAATTGGTTAATTGCTTTCTGTGAGATACAAGCACAAAGCGTAGAAGGGAAGGAAGAAAACAGAGGATAAACCAGAGGAAGCAAGCAAGAGTTGTGAGAATGGTGGATAGGCCGAGAAAGAAAAGTCTGCCGAGGGAATCCTAGAAGCTAGAACCATACATGGTAAGGCTTAGGAAGCGAGGATCCAAATAGTCAATAGATTCTTCACCCTCTCATTTTAATCTCTTTGGTTTCCTTTCCTTCATCAGATAGTAATCCGTACCATTCCATAATTTTCACTCAAATTTTCTCCAATACTTCACTCTTGTCTATGTGAGCCTACTACTCACAGGAGCTAGCTAGCTAGATAGTCGCCTTTTTTCCACATTAAACCAAAACAGAGGGGGGAAAGAGGAAGGTTGAAAAAACACAGAAAGGGATGTGATTTGATCTGGGATAAGTGCCGTGTTGGGTATTATTTGCTTAGCTTGATAATCTGCATGGAACGTACAGGCCCTGGATGCTGCAAACTCTATTATTGGTCCTCCTCACGGGGTCAGAATTAGAGAGAGAAATTAGAGAGAGAGAGAGGGAGACAAGGATCTGTCAGGGTTAAGGATAAATCTGCAGCCATATTCTCAGTGATTGCTTCTTCTGCAGCTATTGATGGTTTCTTCTTGTTCATGGAGTTGAAGAGAAAGATCAGTCTCAGGCTTATAAGTATAAACAAGATCCATCTCTCATTCGGTTTCTCTTTCTCCCATGCCTTCTTCGTCTTATTATGCTGCACAGTACTCCTCAGCACTACATGTTTAGGTAAGCAATTCTCGCCATTTTTATGATCTTGTAGGCCTCACTACACCTTCAGTTAGCTCTTGATACGCTTCTGTTCATTCTTTAATGCAGATGCTAACAGGCCTAGTCCCTTTTTTGCCAAGGCCGATGGAGGTTTTCAGGTAGGGTTGTTCTGTTTCTTATTTAAAACTTGTGTTTTAATATACATGTATGCCTTGTTCCGATTTCTAGGACTCTAGCTCTAACCATCATGTGGCATCAAATCATCAGAATCAAAAAAGCAATGTTCTTGATGGTGTAATGCTTCACGTAAGATCATCAGGAACTAATATTTCCTTAAAAATTTTGAATTTAAGATACACGCTGACAATTAGGGCAAAGATATTGACATTTGGACATACTAAATAGCGACAAGGCATTTGGGGTGTTTTTTTTTTCCTTGGTTCTTAAGCATTTGGGGTGGCTGTGTGCGACCAGAATACTCTAGTGAATAATCGAGAATCAATAAAAAAAGTTCTTTTTTTTTTTAGTAGTAAATACTGTAATTCATTAAACTTAAGGACGAAACAACTCAACACCTAAGTATACCCGAGTTCATCAAGCTCCGCCTCTTGTCTAATAGGAAGGTTGAGCAAGGGCACCAACACTTTTGTTTTTATATTTTATTTTTGAACATTTTTACTTTCTTATATGTACATATATTACATATGTCAACAATTACATGTATAGGAATCCGATCCCCTATAGCACAGGAGATAGGAAAAAATATTTAGAAATAATGAAATAATCTAAATAGTGAACATGTAGCATCTGTTATTTTAGTTTCCAGAGCATGATAGAGTAATTCGAACTGGAACAGTGGTGGTTTTGTAATAGTAGGAGCAGGGATCCCCGGAAAAAAATAAATTTAGCAGGAGCAGAGGTGTAATTTAAGATTATATTCCTTTAATCTTATTTATAAAACATTTTCAACATGTTTCACAAAGATAAAAAAAACCTTAAACTGTATTAACTCTTTATTAAAATATAATAACTTTTTAATTTTACTCCTATTTAATATATACTCTTTTAAAAAAATAATTATCTATATTATAATAAATAAAAGATAATATGATACAATCATAATAAATATTTATTAAAATGACTTATACACAAAATAAAAAAAAATTTCTTGCTCTGTTCTATAAGTTTTATAAACCGAATCAGAAGAATACATTAGTAGAGAGAGTCTCATATAACTACGTACTAATAATGATATTGACCCCCTAGCGCGTACATGTGGGGACAAGGACGAATTTGAACAAAAGTATCTCTAATTTATTATAATTTCCCTGTCAGAATCACATCAACAGTGTGCAGATTCTATGAAATTTCGTGCCCTTTTATGTTATAATATTACTGATTTTGAGCTTGAATTTTGAATTCTTTATTTAATAATTAAAGTTATATAAAAATAAAAAATAAACAAAAAGAGGAAGAAAAGACGCACCTGACATAGCACAACCAGGCAGTCAGATACGGATAAAAGGAGCCAAATTAGGTGCAGAGAGCAGGTGCAGCAATGTAAGCCGTCAGATGCTAACTACATCCTTCGCTTAGGTGTCACACGTGGGTGTGGGTCCCATCCTGTTACTCCCCTTACCGTCACCCCATCGGCGCACGTTAGAATCACCCGCATCATTTCTCATTTTGTCGTCTTCCTCACCTGTCTTGGTAACTTGCACCGTGCCCCTCTGTACGGTACTACGATGCTCAGCGCTCTCGCCGGACACCTCACTTTCTGACTATTTTAAAAAATTATGCCTCGAATATAAAATTATCTTAACTAATTATATTTGTTTTTTTTTTTAAATACATGTAGCTGTGTGATTGATGTTGTGATCGTGAGATTAAACATCAGAATGTGAATTTTGTTTTGTGGGTGAAAGCAGGGATGTGGTGGGGAGAGAAATGGAGAAGTCGCGAGGGACGAAGGTGGGAGGATGTGGTTAGGGAGGAGGATTCTGGGCGGGCCAGGGTCAGCGCCACCGCGATGCGCGTCGAAGTGTGGGAGCTGCAGGCCGTGCAGGCCGGTGCACGTGCCGGTGCCACCGGGGACGCCGGTGACGGCGGAGTACTACCCGGAAGCGTGGAGGTGCAAGTGCGGGAATAAGCTGTACATGCCATGAAAACATTGAATATGACGACATCGTTTCATGCCTATTTTTGTGGAGAAGCATTGAATATGAATTGCAAGCATATGGAAAATGAAGAAGGAAGCATGAGAATAGTTAGTGAGATGATGTGTTAGGATTGAAATTTATGAAGGTCACAGAGACTTGTCCATAGTGGTTGGAATTTAGGATCTTTTGTGTGTTGCTTTTGAGATATGAAATTAATGAAAGGGGTTCATTCCAGTTGAAGAGCCAACCCCATTCGCAGTGTCTGTTCGTTTTTAGTTTGGACAGAGTCGTCTTCTGTCTATCTTGTCCCCCCCGCCATTTCCTTCATCCTTATCTCTTCCGATTTTCCTTTTCTCTCCCTCAAATTACTAGTATGACCTTATCTTTATGTATAACGAACCTTTTTTCCCCTAAAAGATTTACATTAAATCCAACTGATCTGAGGTTAATCATCTCACGCCTTATGAGCATAAAACTAATAAGGGGTGCTTCATGAATTTAAAGGGAAGTACAAGATGGTCCTTACAAACAGCGTGCTTTCCTCCTTGTAACCGAGGTTCAAGTTGGGGATGACTAGAGAAACAATGGTTAGCTGTGCAAGCCGCGCAAATTTGGCTGATCTATCTGATTTTTTTTTTTTCATAAAAGGTTTTAATTTAGTTTCCGCGGAGTCATATGATAGCTCCAGAGTCCGGAGGCAAAGACAAGTCTTCGAGAAGCAACACAATTTCACTCTACTTTTTTCTGTATTCCCAGAACTGGTGAGAACAGCGTGGGCCTCACAAAATAGTGGCTGACATCCGAGAGTGATGGTATCCATTTTAGGCATCAGACTGCTTTTCTTTTCTGTTCCTTTCTCTTCTCTTTATCCTATCTTCCTTTTTTTTTTAATTTCTTTTTATTGCCCAAAGCATTCTTCCACCCAAACGTTAAAAGACTAATCTCTCGGGATACTGTCAGGTACCATAGCAGAGACTCCTCTCAATAGTACTACCTCCGGTCCTAATTATAAGACCCAGTTGACTTATTTGAGGAGATTAAGTTAAGTTAGTTATTTGTAATAAATAAGTGTTGTCATTCCTAAAATATCTTTGCTAATTAAGTGTGTTGGCTAGAACTATCATTATCAGAAGGATTATCTTGGAAAAAAATGTATAAATATGAGAGATAAAATGGATTGGGGTCTTATAATTAGGACCAAACAAAAAGTCAAACGGGGTCTTATATTAAGGACCGGAGGTAGTATTTCTTTCCATACACACCGTTCTAAAGATCAAACCTAGAACATGGTGTTTAAGTGTCCAAATCCTTCCTACTTGACCAACACCTGTTGGCTTTTGGAACTTTTGATAAGTATTGACGCCTTTGAATTTCGTTTTGGGTCGGCGCTAGGCTGGGCTGTACATGAGTGGTGGCAGCAACAATACGTACTGACCCGAAAATAGAAGTGGAAAAACAATGCCACGTCAAATAGACTGGCCCAAATTTATTTGCTCTATTTATCTCTCAGGCCCAGCCCTCCTATTTTGCATGTTCCAACCCTTCTTGGCAGATTTGACGCACAACATTTCTTCATGCTCTAAATTCACTCTATTTAACGCGCGCGCGCGCTGAAAAGCCAGAAATGCGAACTCATGCGATGCGCGTGCACATTACAATGTAACGAGCCATTACATGACACAGTATTATTTTTTAAAAAAATTAATTTAAGTTATAAGTTAAAGAAAAATTAAAACATCCACAACCGGTGCGTACTAATTCACATGCATGATCTGGTACGTGTCTGATGGTAATGCACAGTTGTTAATTCGGAGTTACAAGAAAAGCAGCTCAATAATAAATAATGTGTGGGTTTGAATGCCCCATTCACACATACGTGTCCCTGGAGCTGACCACTGGCCAGGTTCGGCTACGTGTGCTACCTCCTCCCCTGACTTGGTTTACGGGAAGGGCAGGGAAGGTCCCGCGGCATTGCAGCCCCGTGACGTCGCACGGTCGGGAGGCAAACCACGTGTCATTTTGGCCATAGGATTTTCGGTTCCAATGTCGTTTTCCCAAGTTCCCGTGGCGCCCTGTTATGCCCCCATTTTGGCCGTGCATTACTTCATGGGGTAACGACAGTTAGATGTGATGTGGGAAGAATTTAATTAAAATTTTAATTGAGATTGCAATTGAGTTTTTGTTCAGTGGTCTGGATCATGTTTGCAACTAATTTTTAAAATAATTGTTTGGATCCAAGTGTCGTTGATTTTAAAATTGATGGGCTTAAATGTGATTTTCTCTTTACCCCAGGCCAGCTAAAAATTAAAAGAAGAAAAAACCCATTATGCTCCGCGAATAGGTGCCTTGAGCACGAGATGCCCCGTACCTTACTGCGCTTGCATTTCCATTCATTCGCCCAAATGGAAGCTGTTCATTTGCCCCGTCTCTCGTGTTCTTTTTGAGTTTTTATTTTCCTAGCCAGGCAATTGAAAAGACAATAAAGCCGAGAGTTGACGGTGAAGATGATGAAGCGGAGGTAAGGGTGTTATAGGTATCACAATGAGCTTAGGGACACAACTTTCCTTCCACATTTTTTTAACGAAGCTAAAGAAGACGATCGACTTTCGTTGGAAGAACAGATTTTAGACCACCAAACGTTGCAAAGGATGGAAAATTACCCATTTTAGTGTGGCATGGCAGTATATCTACAAGCGCATGAAAATAAATAAAAAATGTTATTCAGTTCATCAGTCTATAGACGGTCAAGCTAATTGCCATAATTAATTTGACGATGGAATTATGATAAAAAAAAATGGATAGATATGCGAAAGAAAATGAATCATGTAACGTGTGAAACGATAAAATAATGAAAATAATTTATGTGTATATATGTTATTTTATATTGAACAATCAAGGTGGCGACCCCGCAGAATATGCATCATCAGAGTGATATAATGATGACAAACAATGGGTTCAAACTAAAAGAAGCTCAACCGCAGACATATATCATCAAAGTCTCCGGGCTGAAGAAGCCCCACCACTAGAATTGGGAGGGACATTTAGTGTAAATGAAATTATTATGGCTATGATGATCCTGATTTGTCACCTGTACCTTGGTCAAAAAAAAGATTTGTCACCTGTACAGAATGTTAATCCCATGCATTTGTTATTCCTAATCAATGTGGGCTGCTTGTATGTCCAATCTGCAATAATCATGAGTCTTACATTAGCAACGTGGTGGATCCTTAGCTTCAGCTTTTGGTCTTGCTTTCCACTAATGGTTTGAAATGCTATTTGAATTCGCGAAGCAGACACGTGTATGGTTGAGGTGTTGTTGGCTTTTAATGCCTGCACATTCACTACAGCACATAAATGCCTTCAGCTCTACGCCTCTAATTAGGGAACACCACCTCCTGAGCTTCGAATGTACGTGTCTCTCTCGCCTCGCGCTTACTTACACATCATCTTGGTGTCTTCTGGGATGACAGAATTTTAAAACACTCTTTAATAATAAATTGTCTAGTTAAAAAAAAAAACAGCTAAAATTAGTTAAAAGTAATTATTATGTAGCAAATACAGTTTTTTTCTAAATATATTTCTATATATAAATAAATAAATATGAGAAAGCAATAGTGAAATAAATAAAGAAAAATAATGTATTAAATACATTAAATTAAGAGTAAAACAGGTAATACTGTATTAAATATTCAGACAAACTCAAAGAGGACCTTATCAAAGTTGTCAAACTCGTGAGTTTAAACAAACTTGTGATAATGATACAAACTCGGATCGTAAACCTGTAAGAGTTTACTTTTATTAATAAACTGGTATTAAAAGTATATACTCAAATAATTAATACTCCTCCGGTCTTTAATATAAGACTCATTTAACTAATTTGATTAGATTAAAGAAGTTAAGTAAGTTAGTTAATTATAAGAAATATGACACGTTTTTCCTAAAATACCATAATTATATTTCTTAATACTCCATCTTTCTCTTCTACTTGATTATGGTTGAAAGAGTATCCATAGGGGTAATTTAGAGATAATTGATAAATATGAGAAATTGGTTTTATATTTAGGACCAAAACCAACTCACCAATTGGGTCCTATATTAAGGATCGGAGGAGTATATAAAAAATAAGAAAAAATTTATTTAAATATATTTTAAATTTAAATAATTGAGATTATATCCATCAATATTTATAATTTATCATATTCAACAAAGAAATTTTTATAAGACGTTACTAAACATAATTAAATTATAAAATTTAGCACAAGTTTAAAAACAAGTTGATATGATTTTATAAGCTAAAAACATAAAAACGATAAACTAGGTAAATGAACTAGTAAGTTTAACTGAGTTTACAGATATCACGAGTTTAAGAGTAAATCGACACGATTTTGTTAGCTAAAAATGTAAAAACATCAAACTCAGAGAGTCAACTCACGAGTTTGACAATAATAAATCTTATAAAAAGAAACAAACCCATTTAAAAAATTAGATCTTATAATAAGGGATGGAAGGAGTACTTCTTATTATGATACTAGTATTCGTAAGTCCATTCTAGCGTGCTTTACCACAACTAAGAAAATTTTAAATCTCGGCACTATGTCTCAAAATTTAATAGAATTCTAATTTTGTCTTCGGATTTTAATATATAAAAGAGTAATAGTTTACACAATAAATAAGTGAATGATAAAATTCTAAATTTATGTTAAAAGTTAATGACACAACGTATAAATAAAAAAAAAAAAAACATTGACTATCTAACCTATAAATAGGATTAGCGTAGCTTGTATTTAAAGTTGAATGCTAATCCGTTACGCCATTAGGCGTCTAGATGCTTCTATTAAGCAATATTGTTTGAATCTTTTAAACTTAAATTGGATTTTTTTCAATTTGAATCTCAATATGAATATATTATTTAATTCTAATTAAATTAGATTAAATGGCATACTTTCTTTGAAGGGTACTTATAGGCCGAGCCAGATACATTTAATTTAAACAAAAACACATAGGAGGACATTATATTAAATGTATAAAAATACTAAACTATTTTTTCTCATTAAATGTCAATATTGAATAATGGAATATTCAGGTAACATAAATTGCTTACTTGTGTCTGAAAAAAAAAATCCTGGGAAAATTTGGAGAGAAAAAAATCCTCCATATAAAAATTTCACTGACAAGGATAACATGATAAATTTTTATATACAGAAAGAGTATCAGTACTCTACAATTTTTGTGCAAACAAAGTATCAATAATCTGATTTAGATTCTTCATACTACTAAAGTTTCTAACTGGAAGATCTCCTAATTTTCTCAAAAACAATAGGCAGAGTAAAATGAATGGCATGCATAATCTTGCTTTTTCTTGGGATCTAACTTAATTCTTTCACCTAATATTCTTGAGATCCAACGTGTTTTTTAATATGTAACTTGGTGATGTTGTACATAGCACCTTAATTATTTTTGAAAATTGACAATGAAATGAGGATGCTCATCACATGGCAAGATCTGAAGTGCAGAGAGGCGTCCAGCTTTGCACTGTTTAATTTAATATATATCTCAATTTGTTACTAATTTATTTTATATCCCATGTTCATATTCACTGATCTGACTTCTTATCAGCGCCACCAAACTACTGATCACCAGCCACGTATCAAGTTATACATATACAATATATAATCTGACTTCTTATAAAACAAGTGGGTCTTTTTTTAAAAGAGGAAACGCAGAACAACAATAACAAGCGTTCACTAACAGCTTGCGTGAAGAGCAAAGCTTAATTTAATACATTCTCCGGCATTTAATATGAGAACTAGTTAGTTGATTAATCTCGTTGACTAATCTGAGTAGATTAAAAAAATTAATTTAACTATTTATAATAAATAAGTGTTTTTTTTAAATATCCTTATTAATTACGTGTGTTAGGTTAGAATTACTATTTGATAAAATATTTAATACGCACAGCTATTACAATAACTATTTAAAAAAATAATTAAATATCAAAAACAAAACAGATTGAGATCTTATATTTGTGGTCAAATTAAAAATCAGGGTAGTTCTTATATTAAAGACAAGAAGTGGTATAATTGACATCAAACTAATGAATAGCCGTGTTCAATTTCGTCCTCGATCAATTTCATTTTCACCAGCTTCTGCAGGATCGGAATGGCATATCTTCCCAATTCGTTTATACATAATTAAGAACAATTAAAGTTGGACGTAGTCCAATTAATTGATTAGCATTCAGTCAAGGCGCTGGAAAATGTGATTAAAGTCGTAATTGAGGGTCTGAGTCCCAAAAAATAAAAGAAGTCGTAATTGAGGGTCTGAGTCCCAAAAAATAAAAGAAGTCGTAATTGAGGGTCTCTATCACAAACTAAAGTGTGTCCATCCGCATGTGATATCCAAATCACTAGTTAAATTCCACTTTGACTGCTATTTGGGAAGCTATTTTACTTTCACCATTAATTAATCGCGTCCCATGAGCAAATTGGCAAACGATTTTATGATTTTAATCCTATGTGTGCTCCAGCCTAACAACGACAATTTAGACTACCACCGTAACCCTGTATCTCTCTTTTTTTCAGTGGAAGATTCAAACAAAATAAAGAAAAAGGGAACAAAATAATAATAATAATTGAGTTCAAATTTGCGAGAGGGGGACTCTGTAGGATACTGAGATGTTAATAAGTTCTACTTCACAGATCTGGTTTTTTAATATATATATATATATAATTTTGAAATAATTTGGCCTGGAATATAATGCTGATTTCATCAATAAATGTGAATGAGTTAATTTGTTCCCATTATTTAGTTTCTGGTTCCATTACTTTTGCCAATCAAATTTGTGTTGTCGATGTGTATGCATGACTGGTATATAGTAATTAAGTGCGATGAACAGATGTGAAATAATTTGAAAACAGTGCAAATAAATGATAAAACTCAATTAAAGTTCGAAATGTAAATTGCATAAGTTGTAGTTCAGCCTTGTAAAAATTATTATCGCTGTGCTATAATTATATGCCGTTACGGGAGAGTCAAGATTTCGGTCCCAAAAAAAGAGTCAAAATTCAATAAATCACCAATGTCAAAGTAGTTTGAATAGAGACACTGGTGGACAGCCTTCTCCAACTAATATGTTCATTATGCAACCACTACAAAGAGTTTTTTTTTTTAAAAATAAATAAATGTGATAGATAAGTTAGACTAAAGTCTTATATTTAGAATAAAATTAAAAATTAAAATAATTTTTGTACCAAGTACTAGAGGCAGTATTAATTATTACTGATATCCACAAAAATAGACGTTTACCAGATATGACTTGCTTCAACGGGCGGCAAGATTCAAAATAATTCAAGCGCAAAAGAATGTTCCAGAGAAACGACTAACGCCATTTACCAGGCCAAGTGATCTAAACGCAATACCCTCTTTTTGGGAATGATTAATAAAATCTCCTGGTAATCCACGCTCATAGCCTCGCTTTCCCGCTCGATGGTTCTTTTTTCCTTGCCATCATGATCCAAAACGAATGAAGTAAACCAGGATGCTAATTTTACGCTGAAAAAACAATCTAGATTTAAATCCCATATGCAATGAAGATGCACAAAACTTCTTGCCAAGCTGATGAAGTTAAATTAAGAAAATTGTAGTTGGTAAAAAAAATTAAGACAATCATCCTGCGTCTTCTAAGGGACAACATAATCTTAATGCCTATTACAAAAAGCACAAAAAAAAAATCTCAAAAGAAAACACGGTATTATCTGTTTTATTGTTACAACAAAGGACAACTCTTTGCCCGCCTCATTGCCCGTGATTTTAACGGCGAAGACCGGGGCCCCACCAACTGAACGCGTTCTTTTTTGACCTTCTGGCGGCACCGACGTGGCAATATTCAATTGCGTTAGAAAGCTACGTTGTCATCGACAAATAGCCACGTGTATGGCTGGTAATTTTTTTTATTTTTTTATATGTCCCAAAGGCACGGATTTAACGAGGATCCAGTATTTTTCTATCCGCGTTAAGGAAAGATGAGTCACGTTTCATACTTTCATCTCCGAAGCCTCCCTTCCATTCGCAACCTGCAACGACTAGAAACTTCTGCCACTTGAACTTTTAACTCTTTTTCGTCCCACCTGTAACAGGGACCTAAACCTGCTTCTTAAGACCCTTTTCTCTCTCTGATTTTTCTCCTTTATATCTTCAAGTCTCTCTGACCTTATACTATATTTAGCTCTCGGTTTCGGCGAAGTTTACTCGTCATCGGAGGGTTTGATCGCACAAATTTTTTGGGGTTCGATCTCTGGTGGGAATAACTCATGCCAGAGATCGAACGCGTGCCGGAGAACAACAACGCCCTGTTCGGCAAATATGAGCTCGGAAGGGTTTTGGGTTGTGGAGCCTTCGCGAAAGTCTATTTTGCCCGCAATGTCCAGAACGGCCAGAGCGTCGCCATTAAGGTCATCAACAAGAAGAAGATATGTGGCTCTGGCCTCATGTCTAATATCAAGCGTGAAATTACCATCATGAGTCGCCTCAATCACCCCAATATCGTCAAGCTCCACGAGGTCTTAGCCACTAAGACAAAGATCTACTTCGTCATGGAGTTCGTCAAGGGCGGCGAATTGTTTACCAAGATCTCCAAGGGACGCTTGAGCGAGGACCTCAGCCGTAAGTATTTCCAACAGTTGATATCCGCCGTCGGGTACTGCCACTCCCGCGGCGTATTCCACCGTGACTTGAAGCCTGAGAATCTCTTGCTCGACGAGAATGGGAATCTGAAGGTTTCGGACTTCGGACTAAGTGCCGTAAAAGATCAGATTCGAACCGATGGGTTGCTCCATACACTTTGTGGCACGCCGGCTTACGTCGCACCGGAGGTTTTGGCCAAGCAAGGCTACGATGGAGCTAAGGTGGATGTGTGGTGCAGTGGCGTTATTCTCTTCGTATTGACAGCTGGTTACCTACCGTTTAACGACCCGAATCTCATTGCCATGTACAAGAAGATATATAATGGCGAATATCGGTGCCCCCGGTGGATGTCGACCGACCTCCGGCGTTTTCTATCACGGCTCCTGGACACCAACCCGGAGACCCGAATCACCATCGACGAGATCCTCCGGGACCCATGGTTCAGGAAAGGGTACAAGGAGGTTAAGTTTCACCAGGAACACGTCGGGTCTTCATCAGGGACGAAGTCCGATGAGGCGGAGAAGATGACTGATCTGAATGCATTTGATATCATCTCGTTCTCCTCCGGTTTGAACCTGTCAGGTTTGTTTGATGATCCGCACAACCAAACGGAGGAAACCGAGCGGTTTGTGTTGGCAGCATCACCGGAGAAGCTCATAGAGAGAGTGGAGGAGAGCGCCAAGGCGGAGAAACTTGTCGTGAGAAGGAAGAAGGAGTGCGGGGTGGAGCTGGAGGCGCAGAAAGGTAATTTCGGGATTACTGTTGTTGTTTACCGATTAATGGAAAGCCTGGTATTGGTAGAGGGCCAAGGAAGAGGCAGAGACGGGGTCAGCTTCTGGAAGAACAAGCTTAAGCCTCAGCTCTGTGCTACTACAGGCCAAGAAACAGACTCCCAAGTTGCCGGTGACTAAAATCTCATCCAATTCTCTGTTTTCTCCTCCTCCCAGAAATACAAATTTGTGGTGCAAAAAAAATGGAGATAAAATAATAAGTTCAAGATGGTGGTGCAACCATAAACATAGCAGTTGGTGGGTATTTGTGAAACATGGAGGAATGAAAATCATCGGAAATTAGTGATAGTGATTAATGAATGTTAAGAATAATCGTATATTGTAGGCGTCCGAGTGGTTTCATTTTGTATACTGTTGCTATATGTTATCATGAAATAGCAAGCGTGGTTTACTGAACAATGCAATGATGTGGGTGAGGACAGAGGAATGGTTGATCCTCGTAAACCCACTGAGACTAATGGATTTCATTATGTTTTATTAAGATTGCTTTGTACATATTGTGTTTTCCAGAATTGAAAAAACGAGGAAAGAGAATTCCTTCTGGTTTCTGCATTTTGTCCTTTTTAATCTGTTGGTTACGAGAAACTACTCCTGGAATTGGAGGCATTGATGGATTGCCTTTGCCGGCTTCAATCCTTCATTCTGTTTCAAGAGTGCGACAAATAAATGGAGCTTACAGGAGAGTTTACTGAATTGAACGAGCCAAGTTATGAGCAAACTTCTCATAGATAAAATGACTGAGCTCGTTTGTTTTATCTATGAAAAGACATAGCATGTGACCATGATTCTAACAGTTTCAATCAACTATGGAAGAGGTTAGTTTATGGTCATTACTGAAGACAAGAACAAGAATCATGTTCCACTGACAATAACATGCATTAGCCTGCAGGCTGCGACAACTGCTTTTCGTTCTTGTCTTTGTTTGTGGGTAGATTATTCTTCCCAAAATTTCCAGATTCTCTGGTCCTTTCTCATCTCACTGATGGCAACATTAAGATGGATCCGAATCTGTTCGATAAGACAGAGCATAGGCTCTCTCTTTTCCATTCATTCCTTATTTTCCATAGGATCGACCTTGTTGGCTTGAATAATTGTGTCTTACAAGTGGCAAATAAGGTTATGAAGAACCAGATTGTAAGTTGAAAAGTAGGCCAACCAAGAATGCGCTGGGCTAATGAGATCGCAACGAACGAAACCAATTTTGGTCAGTGTTGGCAGAGGATCAATCAATCAATTGCTATTATCCTTTCCTGGCTTCTTAGAGTAGCGAGCAGTTCCCTGCCTTTTTTTTTTTGGAGCAAAAGAAGCAGTTCTCTACGTTGTGAAAGAATAAATATATGGAATTAAAAAAAGAATTAAATACGAGTATAGTCTGAAATGCTCAGTTAAAGAAACAGGGTATGAATTGTGGAACCAGCTCATCGCATGGATGAACTTGGAATTTGGAAAGCGCGCAGGATTCAATGAACTTTAATAAATTTAATTCGCAGACTGAGCTGCTTTTTGTCTAGCCATATATTGAGCCCTTTAATTAATTTAATTAATAGCAGCTCATGTTCGCAAGCCTTACCTTTACAATCGGATGCTTCGTTCTTTATCATAATGTTCTTTTTTCGGGTGACAGATAATTCTCTATAAATCAACATTTATTTTATAAATTATTATTCTTTGTTTTTAAACGTTTACAGATTGATCTCCACTGCCAAGATAGGAAGGTTTACCAAAAAAAAGAAAAAAGAATCCCCTTCTCCGTAGTATAATCTTTGTGCAATTCCCACATAATTTTTGTACTTGCGCAACATCGGAGCAATCCTCATATGGTCGCATACAGCCATACAGTTTCTGTCTAATTTCTCTGTAATCTGCCCGTAGTATTGCGTAATGTTTGATGAGTTCAAATGGCTGTGATCCGGTTTTGTTAAATTATATACATAACATCATTCTTTAATAGAGTGATGGTATTATATTTATTAATAAATTTTATTGATTAATTTTAAATTATAATAATAAAAAGCGAGTGAAGTTATATCAAATGAAATTAAAAAAAAAAATCGATAGTGTATATTTTCGTGGGACCTGGCTGACACTGCTAAAAGATATCAATAGGTATGAGTATGGTTGTGGCTTTTCTAATGGAACATTAAATTAAATTAATATCAATGATTGCACCAAAAAATGAAAAAATAATATCAATGATGACGGTCATTATGATAAGAAATCAGTGGTGCCTTCTTTTTTTTTGTGGGGAAGAGTGGAAAACATTAATGCATTATTACATTTGATAACGGGAATCATATTAAAAAATAAATATTAGCTTGTTTTAATACAATTATTTTTTTTAAATATATTATGGCAGTGCTTGCAAATTATTTTAGTCTCATCTCTAACTTATTTCGGTTGATAACGTTTATTTCTAATATATATTTAAAATAAAATATTTATCATTATGTTGGGAATAAAATTTATAACACATTAAAATTTAACGTTCACTCAATTTTTTTAATTGTCATGCCGACTGTTATAAATGTTGTATATATGTAAATGTCCATAACCCCCAACTCTTAAGATTCTTCATAAAATTCTGGATCTTTAAATGTTCTAAACTTATAACCCTCCAATAATGATTTGAGAGGAGTTTCATGTTATTGTTATTATTCCCTTCTTTATTATTGTTATTATTCCCTTTTTATTACTCTGTAACTTTTGGATTAGATTTAATGGTTGGAAGCTTATAAATAGAGGTCATGTACAAGGTATTTATACTCATATATATATGTATGAAAAATACTCTTTGTTTTTACTCCTAATTCTTGTCTTGCTATTCTCTTCCTACTTTCTAACTTTCTCATTTTCATATTTCTAATTTTTTTTGGTACAAATTTGTACTCTATCCAACGGGTATAGGAATATCCTTTTCCTAATGGGCTTTGATATATTTATCAAGAGTTGACTCTTCAAGGACCTGATTAAAATTTTCAAAATTGTATACGGCCCAAAACTCGCGCGCCCTAATGTTTTGGGCCCATAAATTTTACCCTAAGTGAAAACCGAGAAATCTCTCTCTGGTCTCCTGACTGGACCCACCTTCCTTTCGACTTTCGACCTCTCTCTCCACCTTCGAAGGCCTTGTATTAACATGAGGACGGTCGTCTCCCTCCCTAACCAGAGAACCTCTTCCTCAACTGTACTCAAGGTTTTTTATTTTCTGAATTCAATCTTCGCGCGCCACCCACTGCTTACATAACGAGGTGAGCTTTCTTCTTCCTCTTCTTATACGGCGCTCTTCCTGGCGGACGCAACCATTTATGCTTTCCTTTCATGAGCTGCAATGTTTTCCCCTTCGTAATGTTTTGATTGGACTGTTGTGAAGATTGGGAATTTGGATTAGTATAGATGCCGACGGAGTCAATCTTAAAACTTAAGCTGCGCAAGAAGCACAAGCTTGCACTCAGCACTTCTAAGAAAACTAGCAGGAGCGGGAATGCTGAAATTTCCTCGGACAAAGGTAAGTCTCAAGCGAGGGACAATGGACCAAAGGGTGATTCTAGAAAAAAGGGAAGAACTAAAGAAAGTCAATCAGGTGAAGATGGGCGTGATGGGAAGTCTGGCGAGGGAGAAAAGCAGAGACCATTGAGTTTAAATTCAAGAAAGAAGAGAGTATATGCAAACGAGGAAACTGGACAAAATGCGGAGTCATACAATGTTACAGAAGCATCCAACAAGAAGGTTTTGTTAAAGAAAGGGGAGAAGAAGGTGAAAGAGGAATACTTCTGCGAAGTAAAAAATACGTCTACCAAAGGGAAGGTCAAGAAGGAACACGTTAAATTACCAAAATTTCAGCGGAGAGTTAATGCAAAGGAGGAAGGTAAAAAGGAATCTGTTACGACAGATGGCAATGGATCTAGCTTCTCGAAAAAGCATACGGAACAGAAATCTGGCTTCAGCAAGGATAAAAGATCAAATGTTGTGTCTCCTTCTAGTTCCACCAAGAAAAAAGCTCGAGGTAAAGCTAGGTTGGATGATGATGTACAAATAACAAATGAGCAGCCAAAGAAGAGAAAAAGAGTAATCAAGATTGACCCGTATGATATCTCAAACAAGCGACTAGATGATGGCATTGTCATTAGTGGTTGGTAACCTATCTTCCTCTATAATACTTGAAGTCCACTTGTTTTATCTGCTACTTTTTTTTTTAAAATCTTGCTTTAATGACTCTGTTATGTAGTCTAAGATCACTGCAGATTTGGAGGATTTTGCAGATGATTTTATATTATTGTAAATGGCCATTAAAGTATGTGCTTATTTCTCAGAGTTCCACCATGACAAGATATAGGCGCTTGATTCTAATATATGAGATGCGCGAGTGGTAGCAGCAAACTGAGAGTTACACTGAACAAGCACTCGGACATGCTTGGAAAACACATTTGTCAAAGTCAAAACCATGGTTTGGTTGCTTCTGCAAAAAAAAAAAAAAAAGGGTCAAGTCTGAGATTTCTTGTTTAAAACTTACTATTATCATGGTTCAAACTCAATTTGTAATTACAAGGAGGATGCACACGTTGGAGCTATAGACTTGAGAAATATCAACAATTTGGACTGTGGAATTGTTCTTTCTCGACCAGTAATATCTTCTGTTTAACTTTGTAATGCTGATTTTTATTCTATTCTATTCTACTATTTATATTTTTAGTTCATTTTTTTGTGTGGCTTGAGGTTCGGAGGGTTTTGAGGATTTCTTCCCTTTAACAATTGAAGTTGAGTTGGCTGCTTTTCCTCTTCCTAACCAAACAAAAGCCCTTCTTTATATGGTGTCTTGCTTCAATTTCAGGAATTACAGAAGAAAAGAAAGAGGAGCCTGAAGAAAACCCTGTGATGTCCAAGAATGCACAATTTCGTGCAATAAAACCCAGCCCTTCAATCCTTTCCTTCGTGGAAAATAATGTAATTTCAATGATCAGAGGTGTTTTGATAGTTGGGTTGATCACATTAGTATTTAGTTTATTGTTCTTATTTCCTGTGCTATGGTTATTGCAGCTGTTGGGGCGGAGGCGCATGATTGAGATAAAGAGAGCAGGCTACAATATTGATCTTTCTGCACCCTTAGATAATGTCCCCTTCTCAACCAGCTCAGAAAGAGAGAGAATAGAAGACAGCGTATGTGTCTAACTAATGCATTCCACAAATAATCCAATTTCTAATTGAACTATGGAACTAATGATTACTTCTAGAACAAGCAAATCATTTTGGAACGTGTTCCTTAACTCATCTGCTTACATTGACATTCTGTGATTGAAACAGGTATTTAGGAATAAATTGGAATTTTTTGCTGCTGCGAAGATCTCGTCATCATTTCCAGCTCCAAATCTTCCTGAAATTGCATTCGCTGGTAAGATTGCAAGCGACCTTTAATTCGAATCTAGTAATAATTTTCTCTGTTCTTGATTCACTTTATTATACTTGGCATCGATGCATTGATTTGTTCACGATTGGGTATTTTCAATTTTGATTATCTTTAGACGCTAAATAGCTGTTAATTTATCAGTTAACGTGGATAATTTTACCTGTGGGTCTAATTATGATAGAACTGTTTTTTCCATCATCGTTGTTGTTGCAGTAAAAGACTCAGCGTCTGTCATTGTTGTGGCGCAGGGACTTTATCTATAGATGACTTAAGGGTTGGTTCTAGGGCCCTGATCACATTCTATGAATGAAGATCGAGACATTAGTTAGTACAAATGCTTAGCAGAAAGGTTTGGGGTTGTTTCTTGATTAATAAAGGGTTCTAGTGAAGTGAACGGATCTAATTGAGGGGAAAAAATTCAGACTGGATAAGGATTTCTTTTTTCAAAAAACGAATGAACCTTGGGTTCTGGGGCATCCTTATCATATCTGTTGACTAGGGTTGCTTTTTATTGCAGTTTTCCAAAATATCACTAAATATTAAAACCCGTGGACCTAGCTGTCCAAATATTAGGCCCACGCTAATATTCAGGCTTCAAGAGTGATACCTAACAACACAAACAGCTGAAACGAAGGAAAAACTTTCAAACCTGAAGCCTATTCTTCGACATGGCAGATTGAGTGCTTGACTACAGGATAGTAGCAGTTTATTAAATACCTGCCAGAAATTAAATGAAAACTAAAAGGACACAATTATTTAAGCAAATGTAGCTTACTTGGTCTACCAACTTATGATATTTGCACTTGTATTCGGTTTTTTCTCCCTTGCCATGCCCATATCATAGTGCAAACCGTCCTGGCATGTGACTTACATCACATTGGTGCTGACACAAAGGTATTATTTGCCAATACTTTTGCTTATTACTACTTCTAGTTATATCTTGTAACCATGGATTTTTATTTACGAGAATACAGTTCTTCCTCATATGTGAGAAGAAGTGGATTTTTTTAGCAATTTCTCACACAATGGATTATTATGTTGATGGTTGAAATTTCTGTCTGCATCACACAAGCATCATTCTAAGTTTCTAACATTAGTTGTCTCCCTCCAATTTTCCTAGGTGCAATGCTCTGTGTATCCTTTTTAACTTTATGAAGTTTACTATCATTTATTTGTGTCACATTACATAAAATCCAAAACCTGATGGGAAATTATACATTCCAATTCGTAGAAGAAACGTCTTAAGTTATGAAAATTTGTAGCCCACTAGTCTTGATGATCAAACCGTGAAAAGTCTGAGGACTGGTTTATATCTTCTAATTTATGTTCCAAGAGACACGAGTGAAATGATATCCACGTGATTCTGATTGTCAGGAAGGTCAAATGTTGGGAAGTCCTCTCTTCTTAATGCACTCACTAGACAATGGGGGGTTGTAAGGACATCAGACAAGCCTGGCCTTACTCAGGTATCCTAGATTATTTTGAAGTTGGTAGATTTGAAAACTTCAAGGATTAAATGTTTTACTCTTTAATATGCAATTCCTTTTGTAACTGATGAATTCTCTCTAGACCATTAATTTCTTTAAGCTAGGAACGAAGCTTTGCTTAGTGGATTTGCCAGGATATGGATTTGCATATGCGAAAGAAGAAGTGAAAGAAGCATGGGAAGAGCTTGTAAGTTTGCAACTTGAATTCAATCTATTGGTTGTCTAAATGTTTCCCAAAATTTGATTTAGCCAACCATCATTCTACTTGACGGTGCCAGTATTTTGATGCTTCAAGCCTTTATGTATCGTAGTAATTTCTGGATTAAATCATTACGCGTCATAGAACTTACTTATCGTTTGGTGAGGAAGATTCAGCATTCTGAGAAGCATTCACTTCTGGAGCTACTGGGAGAATTAAGGAGACAAAAAGAATAAAGAAAAGCGGGTCACCTATACTTCGTTTTAAGGCTGTTTATTTCAAAATAAACATGTTAATTTCTCGTCCACTAAACACATTCTTCTGGTGGCATGCTTTTGCATGTTCCATGCTTGGAAATATGATGATATGAGATCATATTTATATTTGTGCTGTTGGAATTTTCCTATATTTTGTTGTTCACGTGTATGGAGTTTAGTTTATTGATTTGTCATGATAAAACCTGACCAATCGTTTCCCTTGGAAAACTTCTAAATGGTAGGTGAAGGAGTATGTTTCCACGAGAGTTGGCCTTAAACGAGTATGCCTATTAATTGATACAAAATGGGGTATGAAGCCAAGGGATCACGAACTCATTGACTTGATGGAAAGGTACATAGTCAAGGAACCACTTGCATTCTCTCTTGTTCTGCTGTATGTGAACTTAAAAAAAATCTTGAGGCAGCATTGCATATACTTCATGATGCTTGTTATCAATTTGCAGATACCAAACTAAATACCAGATTGTACTAACTAAAACAGATATGGTATTCCCAATTGATGTGGCACGTCGAGCCATGCAAATTGAAGAGGTGAATTTTTGCCATCCAAATGATCTTCATCTTGGTTTTCTTTTTGGAGACTAACACACTTCTGTGAACTGTTCACCTTCACAGAGCCTCAAGGAGAACAAGTCTGTAGTTCAGCCTACGGTAAACTGGTTCTTTTGTCAGATTTCTTCAAAACTTAGTTCTTACCACATTCTTGCAAGCAAGCTATACAATTTGCATTGTGCTTATTGCAGATGATGGCAAGTTCAAAATCTGGAGCAGGCATTCGAACTTTAAGAACAGTTCTCTCAAAGATAACACGAGTTGCCAAACTCTAAAGCGAGGTGGTGTTTTCTTCCTCAACCTTTCCTCATAATGAATTTGACAAGTTTCTTGACAAAGAAAACAGAGAAGGCTAATAATCTTTCACTTCTGCCTGATTTACACTAAATTGCATTCAGTTTAGCTTTCATATTAATTTGCAGAAAATGGCCTCTTGCTGATCCAGATGCTTTTGATCTGAAGCATCAGTTGGACGTCCCAGATAGAGAATTCGTTTTCTCAAGTTGTAAACTTCCATTTGAGCTCCTTTTCACTCTTCACTGGTAGGGTTATGCTTGTGCCAGGTCAAGCTGATGCATTGGTCTAGATTTGTTTTGGTGGAATATATACTGGTCCAAATTATTGTTTCCCCCCTAATTTAATGGTCAAATTTATATACATGACCTATTGGAAACTAGTCAAACTGCTGTTCACAGAAATGCGTGTAAATAGTGTGTGCAACCTTGGGCCCCAGGCAATACTATGGCCCGAAGATCTAATTATCATTATGATCGTTATTTTGCTACAATTTGGTAGGTCTTGTACCAAAAAAAAAAAAAGTGGTAGGCCATAGATCTAACTTGTTTTTGACACTATCATAGATCTGGCTTGTCTAAACTATTGTCATTATTTTGTTTAAAGTCAATTATCGGAATCCTTTTTGAGATTGGGTTTAGTTATAATTGAAGTAATCTCTTTATTATTATATTGCATAAACATGTTTAATTATTTTCGTTTATTTGCAAGTGGCGCTAGTACAACAGAAAAGGCAAGCAATTAAGGTGATTTTAATTTAAAGCTCTATCACAACACTGCTCATTTAATATAGTGATAAAACTAGATAACTAATTTTATACTCAGACGAGGGTTATCCCATTATTCATGAATTCTCTCTCAATTTTTGCTTCATAGCCAGCCACCCATAACTCTGAACCGGATGCCTTCCTCTCCTTATTGATTTTGTCTCGACTCTCTCTCTCTCTCTCTCTCTCTCTCACCATAATTTTTTTTGGGGAAAGATCGAGCCTATGGTGCCCGGAGAAAGTACGTCAAAGACCCCCACCCTGGGCAAAACCGCGATATTCGAATCCGGAAGTCAGAAATCAAATGTTAGTGAGTCGAAAATAGAGTTTCACTTTGTGAAATTTAACAATTAATAAATTAGTAATCAGATGATAACAACTTACTCAAGGACGAGTAGGGTTGTTGGAGGCGAAGCGTCCCTTTGCCAAATCTCCCTTGCATCGAGGAATGTAAAATAGATACTTTTGTTGTGATCAAACCAGAAGAATGATTTCATGTTAGAAAGTTTCAGTTTTATGAAGACTACCAATGCGGTGAAAAGAAGTAACACACCACTTTGGTAATACACTGGGCTTTCAGGGTCAAATTGTTAATTTTAGTTTTAATTGCTTTGGACATGGGCTAAAAAGACCCACTCTAATTCCTTACAAAAGTATAATTTTATCTCTTAATGACAAGATGCTGAAAATTTAAGAGGTCCTCTTATTGTTCAAGTTTCAAGAATTTCAGTATAGATTAGATTTCATGTCAAAACTTTAAAACTGCCCATCGATTGAAACCAAAAAAAAAAAAAACTGCTGAACCCTTTTCTTTTCTTTCTTTCTTTTTTTTTTTTTTAAACACGACTGCTTATCCTTTTATGTTATCTGAAGGGGGGGGGGAAAAAAACTATCTCTTAGATTAAAAAAAAAAAAAAAAACCGGTCATGCATGTAACGGCTACATCACCCGGCAATTATAATTTATGCCTAAAAGTCTGAAACCCGAAACCGATATCTCCAGTTCTCCACAACAGTGACGCTCTCAGGTAAGTGCGAATCAGAAGCCGCAACGGTCAAATTTTCATCGGCAGCGGCTAGATGCGGAAACGAAAGGCAAGATCAGAATCCTCAAAACCTCTCAACCCTCGCTCACAAGCAGCAGCGATCGAAGAACAGAACACGGTTTCTGATGAGGCCAAAGGCTTCTTCGCTTGTTACCTCTTGGTCTCTCTCAATCCTCGCTTCAAAGGCCATACCTACATCGGGTCGGTCCCACCCTCTCATTGAACTTACTTCTCACCTCTTCTCTTTTTGTTTCTGATCCAATCTCCAAGATCAGATGTATCTGATCTCCTCTGATTCATACATGTTCGCAATTATTGAAGTTTTCATATTTTTATCAATTGAAATGATAGGCACATACGATTTTCTTTGATCTTCGCCGCAACGTCTTCTTTATATCGATTTTGGTTGATGATGGGTTTTTAGATCTGACCGCGTCTATCTACATGCAATTACAGATTTACAGTGAATCCACGACGTCGGATTAGGCAACACAATGGTGAAATTGGGTGTGGAGCTTGGAGAACAAAGAGGAGAAGGCCTTGGGAGATGGTTTTGTGTATATATGGTTTCCCAACGAATGTGTCTGCGCTGCAGGTCCATATTTTGTTCTTTAATTGCTTCTTTTGTCAAATCTCTTGTAGTCACGCACATGCTAGGGTTCGTCTCATCTTTGGTCTCACAAGATGATTTCTCATTTTTAATTTTATCAAATTGATTTGTAGTCACGCACATACTTGGCTCAATTTGCTCCTAAATTCTTAAAACTTAGCAACAAGTTATCTCTCCTATTTTCTTTCAGAGTGCCGTTCGTCTTTAACGCTTTGATCACTTTCGATTATGCTTTATCACTTGAGTATGTGGGCTTTTATGCATTTTACTTGAAAATTGCCCATATTCTAAAATTACTGACTCCCCTGCCTTCAATTTTTCGTCTTGCGCATCTGATAGTGGCATAATATGACTCTTGTCTTTGCTTGGCTCAGAAGAGCCTGGCATGATATGATCATGAGAATTATACTAAGAATGCCGATGTCCGAATCAATGTTTTAAAGTTGTTTTATTGTCTGGGACTTGCAGTTTGAATGGGCTTGGCAGCATCCCGTGGAATCACTGGCTGTAAGGAAGGCAGCTGCTACCTTTAAATCCCTTTCAGGAATTGCCAATAAGGTTAAACTTGCGTACACAATGCTCACGCTTCCATCCTGGCAGAGGTGTGCCTTCTTTCTGAGTGCAGGAATATGAATGCACTTTTTTGTCACAATTTTTGTTTCGATTCTAACGCATGATATGGTTGGTCACAGCTTGAATATGACAGTAAACTTCTTTTCAACGAAGTACACAAAACATTCTGCTGGTTGTCCGAGTTTACCAGAGCACATGAAGGTTCATATTCGCCCCATGGATGAACTTCCGTGTTATACAGAAAGAATTAAAGGTTTGTCTGAGAATGAAGATGATGACACCGGTGAAGGTGGTGACACCAGTGAAGAGGAATGCAGTGTCATTACAAGTAATAGTGATTCTATTCCAGACACAATTAATGGTTGTCTCACTCATCTTTCACCGCAAGATGAAGAATCTGAAGCAAGAGAACCTTGTCATTCATTTGCTTCATTAGACAAAAGCCAGCCATTTGGTTCTATCATATCAGAGGTTAAGAAATCACCACCAGTAATTTTATCAACAAGGGAAGAGGTAATTGAAGTAAAAGATTTTACAAATTTCATGAATAAGAGTAGTGCTGAAATGAGTCAAGCAGATTGCATACAATCAGGTACGATATCAGCTGCTAATAAGAGTAAAGACTCCAGATGTGCCTTTAACGTGCCTAGTGAAGCTGAGATAATAGATTTGTCTACTCCATCCGCTTGCCGCAGCTTTTCAGCTAGCGAGAAGAGGATTTCTCGTGTTGGTAATGATTTTATTGACTTAACAAAGTCCCCCGGCTTCATTCAATTATGAGGTCTTGGGCAATAAGAATCTCACCAGGGTGGCGAGAAATCTACATGTGTTGACCGAGTTGTACAATTATTATTCCCTGTTCATATTAGATCAGACAGAAAACATAAGCAGAAAGCATTAGCTACACTGTAATATTTGTCTTTTCACAGTATATGTGGAAAATCATCGAAGAATGTTCCTTTGCCTTTCCAATTTCCTTATGCTTTTTGTAAAATAAGTTATACCTTTTGATCTTGCGTTGCTAGCCCTCTCACTGTTGACGATGAGTTTCATATCAGCACATATTTTGTAATTCTGTTTCGTCATGGTGCTTCAAAAATTGATGTTATACGTGACAACGATTCACTAGGCAACTAACTCTACAATTAGTAGCGGAGGGTGTTTTTTTTTTTTTTTTGGTCCAAATAGTAGCGGAGGGTGTTATTTGCATACAAAGCATAAAATTTCAAAGGAACATGGTTAATTGGGGCCAATGGTAAGCTGGGTCGCCATAATTTGCAGGGAAATGAACATGAACAAACGCTAGTGAAGAAGTCCCACCTAAGCCACTCAAAAGTAGTCTTATAATTTTGTGGAGCAGGTATCTTTCTGTTCTTGGACAACAATAAGATTGGCCACGATATTTTAGATATTTGATGACCCGCATAATAAATGCTAGGAACAACTTCCATGTGACATCTAGGTTTATGATGGCCATGGGCTTTTTTACCCGGATGCTATAAATAGTACAAAATATTACTGAAATGCTATACGGTGGAAAGTATTTCCTGAAATGCTACACTGGAAGTCGTTCACGGTGAGAACGACTTTAAATCTCTGAAGAAGTCGTTCACACCAAGAACGACTTTGGAGATATGACATATTTTTTAATTACAAAAATTGGAAGTCGTTCACCGCGTGAATGATTTCAGTTTTGTCCTTATTCAAAAAGTGCTCCAGCGTGCCTTTACATGTTCATTTGGGAAATTATTATATAATACAACTACATGGTAGGACAACTATAAATTGGACTCAACAATACTCAAACTTCATTCAAGCATGGGATAGATGGTCACATGCTATTGTTCACATTCCTGTTATGCTTGATGAATTTGATCAAATATCTGAATACATGCAATAGTATTAGAGACATACAAGACGACAGATCTAACGTATTAGTGGTAATACTGGCTATGTGGTAAGTTTTTCACTTTTTTTCCACCAATA